AAGCTGGTTCCAGCCGGTCCTGTTCAAACTGGTTAAAACCGGTCCTAGCCGGTTCCAACCGGTTCTGACTGGTTCGAACCGGTTCTGGTTGGTTTGAACCGGTTCTTGCTGGTTTAAGCTGGTTCCAGCCGGTCCTAGCCAGTTCAAACTGGTTCTGGCTGGTTCCAGCTGGTTCTGGCCAGTTCAAACCGGTTCTGAGTGGTTCAAACCGGTCCTAGCCAATTCGAACCAGTCCTGGCCGGTTCCAAACACTTATGGCTGGCTCAGACCAGTGCTTGCTGGTTCAAACCGGTTCTGGCTGGTTCAAACCGGCCATAGCCAGTTCTGGCTGATTCCAACTGGTTCTGGCTGGTTCAAACTGCTTTAAACCAGTTCAAACTGGTTCAGGCCATTTCAGGCCGATTCATACTGGTTCAAATGGGTTCAAACTGATTCTGGCCAGTTCAGACTAGTTTAAACCGGTCCTGACTGGTCCAAACTGGCTCAATACAGTTTCGAGCAGGTAAAACTGGTTCTTACCTGTTCAAACCAGATCTAGCCTGTTGAGACCAGTTTGAACCAGCCAGAACAGGTTCAAACCAGCCAGAACCGGTTTGAAACTGCCAGAATCGGTTTGAACATGCCAGAACTGGTTTGAACCAGCCAGAACCAGCTATGACCGGTCAGAACTGGTTTGAACCAGCCAGAACCGGTTTAAACAAGACAGAACAGGTTTGAACCAATCAGGACCAGTTTGAACCTGCCAGAACCAGCTATGGTAACTGGTAACTTGATGGTTTTCTCTTGCCAATCTTAATATCTTGTCTTTGTGGTTTTGATCAACCTGGCTACAATGTGTCTTAGAGAAGATCTTCTTGGATTGATTCTATTTGGGGTCCTTAGTATTTCTTGGGACTGGATCTCTGAGTGGCTCTCTAGGTTTGGAAAGTTTTCTTGCAGGATTTCATTGAATAGATTATCAATGCCCTTATGGGTCTCTTCACCTTCTGGAATGCCAATTATCCAGATGTTTGGACGTTTGTTGGTATCTAGTACTTCTCGTATATTCTTTTCAAATTTTGGGGCAATTTTCCCAGTCTTCGTGTTGGATTTTTCTAGGCCAGCCATTTTCTCTTCTACATCTGAGATTCTATTTTCTGTATGATCTAGTCTGCTTTTAATATCTTCAAGGGAGATTTTGACTTCCTGTTTTATAGCCTTCATCTCTAACAGTTCCACTTGATTCTTTCTTTTCTTTTCTTTTTTTTTTTTTTGAAGAGGTTTTTGCTATAGGGTGCGTGCGCTCACT